AATGGGTACAAGGATAGATAAACTCTGTTCCCATTACAGAGCAATGTATTCAGTCAAGGGACAAATAAGTATAAAAGTAACAGTCAAAACGGATGGAAAGCACCAAAGCACAAAACACCAGTCACTAAAGTCAAAGGCAAAACCCCCAAGGACCTACAAAGCCTCACTATGATGTAATTTCATGAACTTCTCATGAAAGGACCTGTGTAAAAGGTAACTTACAGCTCAGTCACGTCTTTGGGAATTCCTTTGGGCAATATCCGCAGCCCTTTGTTGCTGCAACGTACCACTGTGTCCACACAGGTACACTGGGAAGGACAAGGAGGTGAAAGCAAGCAGCTACTTTCATCATTACCTACAGAGGGAGAAAAATGTATTAGGAAGTCAGCTTTGCAGCCCAAAGTCACGCACTTTGAAGGTAACTGCTTACAAGGACCAAAGAGGGACATGTCTCAATTCATGGTAACATCACAGTATTTTAAAGTAGATCCAATGCTTTGCATCAACCCGCCTTCATACAGGTTCTTTAGCCAACATGAACAGAGTTCAAAATCTGAATAGCAGTGTTTTTAAACAAAGATTTTTTTCTAAGGTGTATCTACTTCTCTGTAATTTTGAAAATTACAGTAAAATCAGTTATGTGAATCCCAAATCCTCCCCCTATCCCCAATGCACTAGCTGAAATGGAGAACTTGACCAGAACATTGCCCTTAAATTCATCTAGACAGATGATATTCACGATCTACTCTGTTCTAGGAAGATTTTTTAAAAAATTCAGCTTTTAGGTGTTAATTTTTTACTTTTTAACGTCAACTTGGCACTTCATTTATCACCTGAATTGTAAAAGCCTCATTGTTTTTGACAAGGATAACCAGGCAAACAACAAACTGAGCAGCATACTGCTGTCGATCCATCTGTGCACACATAAAAATATCTACTTTCTCCAAAAATGGTTTCAAAGGTCCATAAACAGCAGATTAAATCTTGTAATTGAAGAACAATAGGGTTTTTGCAGAAGAAACCAACTCTTTGAAGTTAAGAACATTAAAGTGTGGATTTTCCCCAAAAGCAACAGGCTTTGCAAAACATAAGGCAAATGCATGTTACAGTATCACGATGTAGATGAAAGGAAACACTTAGTGTCACATTCTCTAGATGACAGCGAGAGGAACCACGCGCCTGTTTGTGTGTACTGAGTTGACTGGCATGGAGACATAGTGCTGCAATCCAACAGCACACAGCTCGCTCTTTTTTTTTTTTTTTTTGAACTGATGCAAGGACTAATTGAGACAGATCTGTTTCTTTCCTCTCTCTGCTGGATGCACCCAGGAGCACTGAGATTAAAGAATAAGACTGGAAGTCCTAATACAGGATAACAAAATTCCCCATAAATGTATGGGCAGGGAATCATTTGTATTCAGAGGGATGGAGAAGCACGACCAGCCTAGAGAAGAACAGGGGAGATGTTTTTTCTTTTTCTCCCCAGCTGAGCTTAATGACTGGAAACAAAATTCAAAGTCTTTCATAAACCTGCAGAAAGAGCATATTTCTTCAGCTCATTCAATTTTCCCCTATGTTCTGTGTTTTACACCCTGCCATCATCCACCTTCCATTCACCACGGCTGTCTGAGTGACTGTATGATACAGAAAGCTCCCAAGCCTCCAATGTCATTTTGTGGACCAGGATTATTTCCCCCCCCTCCCCGCCCCAACCTAAAAGCAACTTATTCTTTAATGACTAAACTTGGGTCCCTTGAGCTCTGAGTGCAAGCACCTGGGCCTGTTGCCAGGTTGCTCGACTAGGACAGGAATTAATTTTTACTCTAAGTAGGAAATTTCTATCACTCTTATGGTCTCTTTAGAGGTATGACTAACTGCAGCTCCAGCATATCTGGTCTTAACAGGCAATCACAGCCTACAAGTCAAGCTAGCAGTGCATTCATCAGTCAATTTTTCTCCTTACTATTTTCTCTAAAATCTGCTTGATCAGAAGACAAAGAACTACCTGGAGAATGAAAGAAATGTCAGGATATGTTTTGTTTTAAACTTATATGGATCCGGCAAAGCATTAAGCATCACTGAGTCATTTCAAATAATAGCTATGGTTTTTTACTTCCCTGTATTCATACCTGCTATTGGTGAAGCTAAACAGTATCCAAAACTAAAAGACTTTCCAAGCAAACACTGTTCCCACTGGCTTCAGAGTGTTAACTAAGGGAGTGAATAAGGAAGCGGGAGGAAGGGCCAGGGTTATACTAGGATTATACAAAGCAAAGCATTTGTCTATAATAAATTAATTCCTGTATGTAGGTGTAGATAGTAGAAATTCAGAATCTGGAAAACAATAATGAAAATGAACTACTGACAGGGAACAATGATCTTCAGCTCTAGATGGCTGTCTTCCTCATCACCAAAGTGAAACGTTTACCATGCAGCATTGCTTGATAGGAAGCGAGGCCTCACAGAGGTGCCAACATTACCACAAATACCAAATCAGATTGGATTTTCTTACCATCGCAGGTGAAGTCCTGGACATCCACGTCTTGGATTGGAATATCTTTTAAGAAAAAGGGTTTCAAACAGCGTGGATTTCCACTGACAATTCTCTTCTTCCTCAACCATTTTCCCAGCCAGGCCAAATGGCAGTTACAATTAAAGGAGTTAGCCAGCAAATTACTGAAACAGAACAAGACATAATTACATCAAACAAACATACAGAAATACTGAAATAACTACAGAAAGATGATGGGTTCCAAGTCCAAGCTCCTTCCCGCCATCTGTTTCTGTGAGATCCTCCTCTGTTCTACAGACCAGAGAAGTTCTATGCAGGTTTTATACTACGATGAGGGTTGTAATTAAAACATATATATGCATATGTATTATATATACTATAAATCAAAGTACTTACTGCTACAGCTATTATTTAGACATATTTACATCACTGACAGGGCTGTATTTATAGTGGACTTCAACCCAAGCTACAGCTCACACCCAAGTCTAAACTCACCTCACACACTGTACCCACGTATGCATGATCTCCGTGTCATTAATTTGGGTAATGCCACAGAACAGTTTAGCACTGCTAGCCCTTAGCACAGACCTACATGTACCACTCCGTATGCGTACAGCCGAGCTGGCTTAGCACACTGTTCCTTGCCCCAGTACGCTCCTGCTTTCCACTCGCCTGTGTTACGAACCATGCAAACCAGTGCCAGGTGGGAGCCGCTGGCAACTTGAATTTGGGTTTCCTACTGAAATAGTAAGGATAGCACTCTGTATACACATATATCAAGCAGCACTGTCAGCTTGAGCCACTTCTTATGCAGCTTTCTAAGGTCAGTGTATCTGTCTGGAAAAGCATCTGCTCCACCACCTTGTGAACTTTGTGAGGTCTGCATTAAATCTTGCTACAGCTCCCGAAATATCCTTCAAATACAGTTGCAGCCTAGCTGTGGTACTGTGGTGTGCAGCACCCAAAGCAACCATTTGACAGCCTCCGTGAGAGGGAGGGATCCTTAATGTAGTTTGCGTTAGCAGCATTTAAAACAGGAAAGCCCTATCCATCCTGCTGTCGAGCCATGAAAACATAAATGTATAGCAATTTCTCAGTTACACCTGTAACATAGTCAGTATAGAAAAGATACGATTCACTTCTATTTCTTACTAGGTTGCCATCCTTCGAATGAGAGGAGTGTAAGGTGGCACGTTATTTTAACCAACCATCTTCCTAAGCTAACTAGAATTAGTGCTGAGAATCTTGGAAAAAACCTTTTTTCTGGAGTCCTGTGCTGAAAAGCCTATCCATAATTTGTGTGTAAGCTTTTTTTACAACAGACCAGATGAGGGA